TTGTTGTGATGGTGTCCCGGTCATGTTTTGATGGTGTCCCGGTCGTGTTGTGACGGTGTCCCGGTCATGTTTTGATGTGTCCCGATCATGTTTTGATTGTGACCCAGTCATGTTGTGATGGTGTCCCGGTCCTGTTTTGATGGTGTCCCGGTCATGTTTTGATGGTGTCCCGGTCATGTTGTGACGGTGTCCCGGTCATGTTTTGATGGTGTCCCGGTCATGTGATGGTGTCCCGGTCATGTTGTGATGGTGTCCCGGTCATGTTTTGATGGTGTCCCGGTCGTGTTGTGACGGTGTCCCGGTCATGTTTTGATGGTGTCCCGATCATGTGTCCCGATCATGTTTTGATTGTGTCCCAGTCATGTTGTGACGGTGTCTCGGTCATGTTTTGATGGTGCCCTGGTCATTTTGTGATGGTGTCCCGGTTATGTGATGATGGTGTCCAAGGAAGAGATGGTCGATGTGTTGAAAACAGCAGCTTTTTCCAGATTTTTCTTTTTGTCTCGGTTTGTATCTTGCTATTGGGGTCTCCAGCTGGGCTAATTTCATTTTAAGGTCCCATCATTTCTCCAACATCTTTTTGATTGAACAATTTCAATTGCAAACTCTCAGGCCCCAAGCCTCCTCATTCTGGACCTTTTGTACCCCTCCGTTTTTAGTGCCCTTTGTACCCTCCCACCAAAAAGAGCTGCACCTTCTTTAGGAAATGCTATTGCGGAAGTACTCCAACGCTCCTTGGACTCTGATGCGCCTACCATGGGGCCAATGCAGATGCTGAGAGAGCAAGGATGGCGCAGCGGGGATTTTCAAGGAATCCTGGTTGCAAGGAAAAAACTGAAACATAGACATAGGTTTCATTTTTGCTGTAATTCATCCTTTCAAGTAGAGTTCAGGTTGAGGCACTTCGCTGTGTTCTGTTCTGGGTCAATTTTTCGATGGAACTTGATGCAACTGCTTTTCAATGTGCTTTGGTGGATTCAAAGGTTCAGACATTGCCAGCCTTGAACGTGCAGCACTCTTGCTAGCTGAAGCAGATTCTTGGAATTGAATAGACTAGAAAAACTATATAGACCCAACAAAACGCTCTCCCTCTCTCGCTATCTTCTGTCAATTCTTCAGTTTGAGGAGCAAAGAGATGGGGGAAGGCTGTGAATACTCAACTCTTCCAAAAATGACACTTTGTTTCAATCCTGATCAACTCAGGACTTTGTGCGAGTTTCGAAAGCATATGGAATTCCTGGATCTGGCGGTTCTTTGGTAGAAACAGTTTTAGGAGAAGCTCATACGTTTTTCCTCTTGGCCATTTCCACCAAAATGAGTTCTCACTCACTGCTCTAACGGGAACCAATTGCAGTGTCTACTTGCTGTGCCTACTTGAATTATTTGTGGCGTCTACTTGCAGGCTCCCAGCCAGCTTAGGTCTTATGGGAGCTGCCAGAGACGAAATGAATCACTTGCTCAACCTTGGCCAGAAATTTTTGCTGCAATCATATTTGCACGCCAAGGCCGCACACCAGAATTGTTTGCTTTCCTGAAGTCCAGCGCTTAAAGCGCTTATATATATATAAGAGTCTTCAATACATACAATCCAGAAGTGAACCAGAATGGGGCACATGATGCATTAATACTTGTCATGAGCAATTCTATCCACAGTCTGTTCAGTCTGTTCCCCTGAATCCACAGCTAGATTTAAGCCAGTGTTGTAATTCAGCTCTCGCAGTCTCGCAGGCTGCAGCTCCGGCAGGTCTCACAGATCTTTATGGCCTCTTCACAGCAGTGTGGCAGACTGGAGAAGCTTGGCTTTGAAAGACAGAATTTGCCAACAGACTGCAACAGATTGCATTTAACTTCAGTAGCTACTATGCCCGTTCTGTGTAGCGTACTGCTGAGGTGCCAATCTTCGAGATTCTGGATCGTTTGGACAGCCAAGTCTTGGAGTCCATATTCTTGCCAGCAGCATGGAAGCAAGCCTTCAGGCCTTCAACACAACACGCAATACAAAGTGTGCCCCCCCCAAAAAAGAATATATATATATATATAATATATATAGAGGTTAAACAAGAAGCCACCGACGTGAAGGTTATAGACAGTTGTTGTACAAGAAAGTCAGCTTGCAAACCAAGCAGCAGCGATTCATCAACAGCCAAGTGTTCGGACATGACACATCCAGCTGCTACTGAGACCTCACAGACGCACAGTGATGCGCCGTTTCTGGTGCATGTTTTGCCAACACGGAATGTGGAGTCCAACCACGTGCGTGCATTCTTTGACCTGCATTGTGAAGCTCGGTCAGATTTCATTCCGCTGCAACGTGGCTGAGCTTGCTGTTTGAGCTGCTCTCTGTATTGCTGGACAGGGAGCCAGTGGCAAGGAGTAACGACCCAGGCTCCGATTGGCAAGCTTTACTGTCAAATTGCCTCATGAGTTGAGAGTGTGGCCTCCGGGAGTCATGACGTCAAAAAAACAGGTTGCTATCTCTGAAACTGATTGCCCGCTGTGGCTGCAAATGGGTGTAATGGGCTTTCTCCAAAGGCTCCCCACTGGTGTGAGCATCCCCTGAAAGCCTGCGGACCTGAAGTTCTACTTCAGGCTCATGCTCCTGGAATGGGATCTTACTCCTATTGTTGGTTTGATGCATTGATACAGCATTTGGGCCTGCTGAAGCCAAGAATATGGTATATCCTGTGCTTTGCTGTGTAAGGACCAGACTTTCAAGGACTTGGTTGAAAAGCATAAGAACCTGCGGCAGCCATTGATGGTTGTGGAGATTGGCACGCATTTGGGAGGCACAATCACATGGAAACTGTTTTGGAGCTTGCCATCAAGAAACAACTATATATATATATATAGCATCCAGAATATTTAAGAATTAGCTAAGGCTTGCTTGATACTTCAGTAGCCAAGCGTGGAGTGCCATCATGTTTAGGGCTGCCGTTCTGCTCATAGCGGCTAACACACAGTTGTATGTGCCCCAAACCGAATCCAAATCCAGCGACCTCATTCAAACACTGTTGTCTGTTGAAAGGGTTGGGTTTCCCTCCATCTTCAGCTACTGCATCTTATTTCTCATTAGATGGTCAGGTTGTGTGCTTTATGCGCTCACGCATTTGCCCAAAGAGACCGGGCCTCAGTGGTTTCCGTGATAAACACTTCTGTCTACCAGCACTGATCGGGAATGCTTAGGACCCGTGCTCTTGCTATCGATGCCTATGGCCCAGCTGTGGCAGCCTTGCGGCGCACAGCTGCGTCAAATGGGCTTGCGGAAGCTTTGGCTAATCCACCTTAACATGTGGACGAGCAGCAGTCATACTCGCCAGGCAACACTTTAAAATTTGACTGGTTCTTTTTGGTTTGACTTGGCTGTCTTGAGAAACGGCTGCAAACCACATGTCGAACCTTAGCCCTCGAAACTCCAACTCCTGTGATGAAACACTTGAGAGACATTCCGAAGATGTTGTTTCACTTTTTCCCCAATAGCCATGCTATGGGGTCTTGCAAAACTAATAGGCGGACGGGCGCCGTCGGGTCACCGTCAGAGCTGGTGGGCGGATGGTGTCCCGGTCATGTTTTGATGGCGTCCGGGTCATGTGATGCTGGTGTCCCGGTCATGTTTTGATGGTGTCCCGATCATGTTTTGATTGTGACCCAGTCATGTTGTGATGGTGTCCCGGTCCTGTTTTGATGGTGTCCCGGTCATGTTTTGATGGTGTCCCGGTCATGTTGTGATGGTGTCCCGGTCATGTTTTGATGGTGTCCCGGTCATGTTGTGATGGTGTCCCGGTCATGTTGTGATGGTGTCCCGGGCATGTTTTGATGGTGTCCCGGTCGTGTTGTGACGGTGTCCCGGTCATGTTTTGATGGTGTCCCGATCATGTGATGGTGGCGCGGTCA